AAAAAAAAAAAAAAGTTTCCTAAGGATGGGGCAGCAGCTAAAAAGTGACTGTTGACTGCACAATAAAGCTAAAGACAAAAACCCTAAATAACAACAACAAAAAGGCAGCAAAATGGTTGTTTTGCACAAAGAGCTAGCAGGCATAATTACAGTACAGATTCCTAACTGACCCTGATCTTTTTTTATGAAGTTTGTCAGCTTTCCCTATTCTTTCCCTACAGCAGTTGGCAACATTCTGACAGTATGGCTGCTATGTGCTCCCCCACCTTGAGTGATTTGGCTTATCAAAATCCCCTTCATTGACTCTTCTAAGCCTGTTGGCCATAGTTCAATTGTTTTAAAACAATCTGCACATACATTTGCCAGGATCGCAAATTTCGAACCCACAAGATTTGCCTCAAACCCATGGTAGAAGCGAACCGGAAACTTATCCCTACTCATTATTATATATAGAAATAGTAGCCACAGCAGCAGCAATGCAAAGCAAGCATACACTACTGCAAAGGTAATTAATAGACCTGGGACAGAGAAGACCAGGAACATAACAAAATTTGTTAAATGATTTTCTGATTCAATAGAACTGTTCTAATATTCAAGGAAATGCAATTATAGCTTGTTACACAGATATATTTTTGCTTTAAAAATTGCAGTTAGGAATATATTGGACCCTAAATTATATAGACATATGTTGATGAATATTTATGTGAGCATGCAGCAAGAAACCAGTCTTGCAAAAAAGCTGTTTATCTTTTAACCTGTGTAAAATATATTTTGTTCTCAAAAATTGCCATTGACTGCTGGTTTGCTTTATGTTTGCTAAGAGGACAGAGGTGAACTATCACAAATAAAGCTGAAAATTCTAATTCATTAATACACCACCAGTCATTCGAAAATACACATTTGCTAAGATCTGCAGTGAGAGTTCAATTCTCTGTTTGCAATAACCTAATAGGCAATGCTCTAATATATTTAACACCAGTCGGTGCAGAAGTACATAATATCCTGACCTCATAAGACAGTCTATAGACCCTTTGTGCCTGCAAAGAATGGGTGACACAGACTAGACAGCATAATGACAATGCTTTGTGTTGCTAGGCACCTTTGTGGAGATATATCGAAAACTAGAGATTAAGCTCTGCTTTCTTTATTCTTCACACAGGGTGCAGCCAGGTGATAAAAACAGAAATTCATACTGCATTTCCTCTATCGATCTATCTATCTATCTATCTATCTATCTATCTATCTATCTATCTATCTAGAAACTGTTACTTAACGTTCAGGGTGGAAGTTAAAATGTATAAAAAGTTGATAAAATGTTTATAATTTGTCAGGAAATAAAAAGTGTATGAATAAAAAATATATACCTGTATACTGTACATAAGAAGGCAGAGGTAGTCCTAGGTGTATATTCAAAACATAATCAACTTCAACTAAAATGGAGACTGTGGAGACCGTGCGGACAGTTGGATTAGAAAAGGGGTTGGAACTTCAGAGTAAGGTAAAGAAAAACTTAATAAGAGACACTGCAAAACACCTCCATAGTAAGTTAAAATTAATTTAATTATTTAAATTCAGTTGCACTCACAAGAGAAAATCACCCGGGGGACAATATAGCATTTGCAGCATGCACTGATGGATGAGGAACAAGCTTTCCAGCCTCTACCTCATACCCAGGCTATTTGCTTTGCTTGACTGATTTGGTGCAGTGATGCATGGGGGGTCTCAGCTGCCATTGGGATGTGCGGGATCCCTTGTGCGTTCCTGTGCCTTTAAGGGAGGTTGGGCTTCCTCCTGACAAACCTGCACCCAATTTTATCTTCTGACCCATGTGCTCCAAGATGAAGACTCTCATAGTTTAGAGTTAGGACCGCACTATAAGAGGTGCCTTGGCGCGGCTGTGCGTCTTTCACATTTTCTGCAGAAGACGTGTATCCAAACCTCTGTTTTTAACCCTAGTGGTGAGACAAGTTTTTTTACATGCTAGCTTGTGAGTGTGCCAGGAAAACTTTTTGCTGTCATACCCAGGCCAGACGCAAAAGTAATCCAGACAACTGCTAGAGAGAAAAGACGCTGAGGCAGCGAGGGATCATAGACCTGGAGCAAGTCTGCAGGCTTGTTCCTTTTCCATCACTGCATGTTGTGAATGGTACATTTTTCTATTGTGAGTGCAATTAAATGTACTTAATTAACCTTTATTACAACTTACTACACTATAGAGGTATTTTGCACTGTCTCTCATTCTATCTATCTATCTATCTATCTATCTATCTATCTATCTATCTATCGCCACCTTGCCCTAAGCAGGGTGACTACTTAAATATAGCTATGCTGGGCTGTGAACAGCCTAAGCCAAATTAATAGTGCTGTACTCATTTGGTCTCCTCTAAGCCCAGTAGTTTGCTTCTGCCTGCTGCTAGGGTTTAAACCTGGCAATAAAGCAAGAAGTTACAATAATGCTGGGTTATAAATATTTGTGTTTTCCTGGCCAACCACTCAGAGGTTTATTGCCACTGGTTCATGCTGGGGAAGAACATAAATATTTGGGGCTGACTTTGTGAGTGTTTCCTCCCGTGGGCTCCTACCTTGGGATAGGAAGTGTTGCTCTCTATGGTTTAGCTAGGCCTACTGACTAGGGAAGGCCTGCATATGCCGAAAAGAGGAGGTCTGGATATGAGTAAATATAAAAATGAAGTGTCTCACCCTGATGTTAAAAGTCCAGATACAAGTTTATTCCAATATAACATGTGAAGCAAGAGTGTACACAAAGCCAATGCATTTTTGGGGGCTGGAGTCTTGTCCCCTTTATCAGGACTTGAGAGATAAGAAGCAATGAGGGGAATTTATCAAAACTTGAGCAGACCAATCAGCTTCTCTCTTCAGTTTGTTGAGTTAAGATTTGAAAATGAAAGAAACTGATTGGTTGACATGTACAGCTATGACATTGTCACATTACAGAATTTCCCCTTTAAAATGCTTCCTGCCTTGTAAAAATCTATAGTTGAAAAATGTGCAAACCACTGTGGATAGCCACTTCATAAACCTGGTCTCAAAGTCATATCAAGCAAATTGTTGGCCAACTATTTATTTTTAGATGTCTCTGACAGACAGTATTGGGCTATCTGTGTTGCTGGACCCATGGAACATTTATGGTCTGCAAAGGTTAAAATGATATCCCATGTGCTTTCCCTTAGCATATGAATATTTGCACTCTTTAAATTGTACTCTAGTTTTTACTGGTTGATGTGTTCCATATATTGTGCTTTACCTTGACCAGTCACAACTAACAAGGTGTTTTTCCCCATTTTCTGACAGACTGAGGTACCACAAACATTAATCCAGCCATGTACCATATAGAATGCAGAAGATATAGGTTTAGTTCTGCTGTCTGAGCTTACTTTAATTATTTTAAAATAAATCATAATTTAATGCTTCAAAAACCTTAGCACATCATTTAAAAGTAATAAATTGCTTTGCATCACAGAAGGCTGAAGTTACAGTTCACAATTTAAGCAACATAAAAGTGAATGAAATGTTTTGGCATCAGTTAAGGATCTAATTATGGAACATTCGGTTTGGCCAAACAGGAATTAGCTTTAGATATAAACAGTAATTTTATGTATTTAAAGTCCATTAAATCTTTTAAAGAAGAAATAGATCACAGTGATTCAGCTCATTAAATTCATACATTTGATGAGATGGGAATTTAGGAATAATCCACATTATTTTGTGGAATACTCATAAGGGTTATGAAAACTCAAACAGGCTTAATAAGATGTGCAGAGAGCAACGATGTACAGAAGGCATTAACAACCAGTAAGTGGGCTGAAATGTGTTTTCAAACATTTGCTCATCCCTAATCAGATGTTTGTACTAATTCTCTAATCACGCTAGAAATCAGCAGGAGTGGAATGGCACCCATGGTCAAAGCGACTGACATTAAAACTCATGTGATCTAATTCGACAAGGCAAAAAATCAAGTATAAAGTTAAGTAAACCATAGCAACCAGTCTCAAATCAGCTTTCAGCACCCAGAATTTGGAAACAGGGTTACTGTTCTTTGAACTTCAGGTTTGCACTTTGCACAGATATAATGAATATGCCTTTAAGTGTCTGTTTCAGCTTTATAAATTCATTTTGGGATTATTTTATTCAAATATAGAGACAATATTTTGACAAATTCCACACTGTTTACAGAACACAGAGATGAGTCCTTGTACTCACGGAAACTTGATGAAAACATACCAATTCCACAAAGACAACATCCCTGATGGAAATCAACCAGAGTTTCTATAATAACTTTTTATTCACTGTGTTGACTTGAAGTAAACCTGTCATAGAACTAGACAATTCAAAGTGAGCATATGATGGAAAATAGTAAAAACTGGTTGTATTTCTGAATAATAAATAATCTGCATATTAAAGTGACATTAAACCCTCAGATTTTTTAACATAAAACAATACTGTAATGTGCACCTTCCTGTAATCCATGGTTGGTTCCCTTCTCTTTGCTGCTCTTCCTTTTAAATCTGTATCTGTTCTCATGCTCTGCAGAACTTCTGTTTTGCAGCAGACTGCCTTGTCTCAGGAATGGATACACAGTGTCTGTGTATAGGTTTGTATAGGCTTGTAACCTGAGCCAGCACTACAGGAAGAGGCCCTGAGCTGAAAAGGGAAGTTCTCCCCCAGCATGAGAAGACATGAGGATTTAAAAGGAAGAGCAGCAAAGAGAAAGGAAACAACCATGGATTACAGTAAGGCGCACATTACAGTATTGGTTTATGTTAAAAAATCTGAGGGTTTAATGTCACTTTAAGGTATTATCTTGGATTGCACCAAAACCAGAAACAGAATTATTTTTTGCTACAGAGCAATGGCATTAGCAGTAGCTGCGCTGACCAATTAGCTCAAAGATATATTAAGCTTCTGGACTGCCATCGAAATTTGGGAAAACTGAGAGGAAGCTGTTGTCATCAGTTTTTGTAGCATTTAAAGAGTAAAAAAAAAATCAATCCTTTCTGGGTGATCTATGTACATTGCAAGAATTATAACCAACTTTGTTGCAGTTTCCTACCTGCTTCTGTTACATTAAAAAAAGAAAATAAATTCTTGTGTGTGTTACTTCTCCAGTACTTTGTCCAGAGACTTAAATCAGATAAATTATTCATTTGCGTGAGGTCTTTTCAAATGAGCTTTAAAAATTAACAGTGCCAGGCAATTTTAGATCTCTTCAAGAACTGATTATTTCATTTTGAGATCAAGCACCATAGCACTGCACTGGTGAAGTTGTCTCTTAGTGGAACACACAGCAAATGTGTGGCAGCGAATGGGTAGGTGAGTATAAGACTTCGGGGAGGATGGAGTTAAGTTAAAGAATAACTCTACTAAAATACATTTACCGTTAAATGCACTCCATCACCGAAAAACAAAAAACTCCTGCACAAGAAGGCACCTTATACTTGTCACCCATTCTTTGCTCTGTTGCTGAGCAGAGACACAAAAAGAATCTTCACATCAGATACACTTCTGTAAGGGTTAGGCATTAACTTTCCCTACTGCCCTGTGCCCCATGTCACTTCAGGACACAGAGGGCCAGCGAGAAGAACCACAGAGTGTGATGGGAAACAAAGGCATCTGACACACCTGGAAGTGTGTTGAATGTTAAAGTGACAATAAACCCTCAGATTTTTTAACATAAAACAATAGTGTAATGTGTGCCTTACTGTAATATAAAATTATATTTCAGTACAGCGTAGCATGACGGAATAAAAGTCAGTCAAAGTATCGCAGCGCTGAATACTGAAAAATGGCCTGGCCAGGAAGGGGGTCTAAACACCTGGTCTTGAAGTGGTTAAGAATATTTTGGCAGTTTTGCAACAGAGCGAGGACCCAATGAATGAGCCCTCGGACAGGTAAGTTCGAAGTGTTCCATTGTGTATTTATTCCTTATTTTAGAGACAGGATTACTTTAAAACAAAAGTTCAAACTGCCATCTATCTACTTTAGTGAGAAGATACCATGTTCTTGTATGTGCAACTGGTCACCATTTTACATCACCTCGAACAGCAGGATCAATATCATTCCCTTGGAGGAGTGTCCTCATGGTTAAGCAGTCATTAGATGCAACAGCTTCAAACAAAATCCTTTTATCCCTAAAACAAAATAGAAAAAAACACTAAAAAACTGTATGATATCACAATGAAATTGGGAAAATAAACAACAAGTTGTATATAACAGAGATTCATACTAAACAAGGGTAATAGTGCTAAGCCATGTCACAGAGGAAAGGCTTATTTTCATCACCTAGTTGGTGTGTCTTCAAGCACAAGCTGTGATTATTAACTGCAATTCCACTGGTAGCATTCACAAGGATTTTTCGAACAATAAATAATTCCAGTTTCCTGAGAGAGTAGCACAGATCAAACACTCCACAGATGTCTATTTTTGTAGCACTGACCCCCTTAGGAGCGACTGGATTTTTCTGACCTTTCTTACGATGGTTAGTCACTTGGCTTGACCCAAACACTCATCCACCAACTGCAAACAAATTCCCTACACTCTGTAGTATCTTTATACACCTGCTACAAGCTAATGCAGATTTGGTAGGCCAGATGAACAGCTACCTTTAAGAATCTTCAACCCCTCTCACGGGTTATTTGTCGACCTTTAAGCCAGGACAGGCAATTGGACCATTAACTTGGGACTGGTAATTGACTAAGTAGAACTATTGTTTGGGTTCTTCCCCAGGGAGAAGGCCTAAGAAGCAAGGACCTCTGGTCTCACACTCTGACCAGGCAGCAGGCCTGGGAGGCAAAGACTGGACCCCCTCACACACATCCTCTTCAAGCAAAGGATTTTGGGGGGGTCCACCACAAAATCCATACTAGACCCTTATCTTTGAAAAGGATCTGGTATGGATTTACAGGAACCACAGACTGAAAAAAAAAAAAAAAAAAAATCTGGAAGCCCCCTTTAAAATAAAAGCATCATCCGACACTTTCCAGCTGATTATTCTTGGAGGAAGAGGTGCTTGACCAAGACGGATTCTTTCAGCCAATTACTATTATTTAAGTAATTGTTCAATAGAATGACACCATCAGCTATTTGTTGTTGATATACTACTGCATATGATTGCTTTGGAGGAAAACCTTTTGATGCAAAAGTAAAATTGGTGTTAGAATTATAGCTTTCGAGATTGCAGGCTTGGGTTAGGCTAAGGGTTATGGTAAAGCATTCAAACTAGGGTTTGGTTTTGAGGTTCAGGGGAGTGTTTGGCTGACCGTAAACATGGCAATTTTCTAACAATTTTACCCCCTTTCCACCAGCCTTTAATAAAAAAAAAATGTTTGGATTAAGACAATATACCAACAAAAGTCATAAAGAAATGAATCTACTAATACATTGGTAGGTTGCCTGGATCTGTTTTGTGATCGAAAGTCAGTTTATAATATTTGAAAATTGTCATTTTATTTGGCCTGCATCGGGGTTATAGATCCAGTTAAAGTTTAGGACTTAAAGTGGACCTTTCAATAACTTTACAAGTATGTCTGTTATGTCAACATCATTTTAAATATTCAAAAAGATCTTTTATAATTTGAAGTGGTCTTTGAGCTACAGTCAGCTGATTCTGTTTAGGATGCAATTTCATCAATCTGCTGCAGGAAGAAGGAAGCCTTTCCTCAGTCTTCTCTTCCCTGAGATTACATTGCAACATTGTAACCTTGTAGCAAGTCACAAGGTGAAAGACAGTCAGATATGTCTGAACCAGGGGCTTAACTAGAAATCACAGGGCCCCATAGCAAAATTTTGTATGGGGCTCTGTGATTGCTAGTTAAGCCACTTGCAGAGTTAAGCCACCCGGCGGAGAGTGACCCTGCAGAGCCCACCATAGACTCTCTATAGTGAGCTCTGCAGGGTCTGAGATCTCTTACCTGTCAGCGCCTCTGTGTTTGCTGGGCCCCGACTCCTGTTCCGTCCCCGGGCCCCGACTCCTCTGCTATCGACGGGCCCTGCCTTCTCTTACATCACTGGCCCCACCTGCTCTTAGGTCGCTGGCCAGTGATGTAAGAGGAGGCGGGCTCCGCCTCCTCCATTCTGAGCACCGCCCTCATCTGTCGCAGTGGCTGGTTGTCACTGACACAGCTCTGCAGCGGCTATGAGGGGAAATGCGCCATGACCGCTGCTGAGCTGTGTCTGTGACAGCCAGCACCCCCACATGCCATAGCGACCCAGGCGGCCCTGGCCGGGCCCCCCTGTGCCAGGGCCCCATAGCGGGCGCCTAGGTCGCTATGGTGATTGTTACGCCACTGGTCTGAACACAGCCAAAAACAAAACAGGCAAAAGAATTTACATGACTGGGTCATCTCTGACCCATCATTTCAGGCCAGACAGTAGATGCTGACCCTGGATAGTGCCAAAATATAGATGGTGCCATCTTTCTAGAAATTTTTATGGGGAATCCTGTGATCTCTGTCAAAAGTAATAAATACCTGCAAGTGATACAAATACACATTAGTAAGCATGCATGCATGCACTTACATACATTTTTTTTCCAATGATAGGTCCCCTTTAAGTATAGGGTTAAATGCTCGTTTTTCTCTTGGGGATGGAATAAATCAGATATGTTTACCTGATCCTTGATCCTTCTGAGCTGCTAGATCGCTCCCTGCAGACTCTTCTCCCCTGGGCTCCGGCGGTGTAAGGACTGCTGATGTCATCACATCTAATGCAGGTCCATTGACTTGCATTAGACATGAAGACGCCGAGGGACATTACACAGCCAGAGCAGAGGGGAAGAGAGGTAAGTACTGCCTACCACGAGACTGAGGATCTGGCGGGTATATCTGCGTAATTCCATGCCCTAGCGAAAAATTAGCACTTAACACTTGCAGTGTACGGGTAGCCCCATTGCAAGTGAAAGTTTTTAAAATGTCCGGTGTTCTTCCTTAATGCTGGCCATATACGTGGTATTTTTATAGCAAGCACATTACCTTTCAGCCAGCTTTTATCTACTGTACATATAAGACTAAATAATCAAGGCAATCTAACGTCATCGTATTTATGAGTTCCGTGTGTTGGTAGGTTGCTTTGATCTATACAATTACAAGTGGTTGAAAATTGCTCTAAAGTTGGCCATGTATATCATTGACCTGAAATTACTAGTTTTAAGTTTACAGGTATGGTTATTGTTGCCATGTTGAAATATCATGTATGCTATAGGCATCAGTGGTCAATACTTGCAAACACAATTTACTCTTATTCCATACCTAGCTATACCAATATAACATGCAAATCTGGGTGGGAATAGGCAAGTGTGTTAATGTATAGTTTAAAGATGACATTTCACATGATCCAATCTTTACCTCACATCCGAATTGTTCCCCCAAAGTACAATCACCTTCTGATTTATTCCCACATTAACATTATGTGCCATTTCACCTATTATATTACAAGACTACAAAAGACAAATCAATAAACAAACAACCCACACCAAGAACAATGATGGTCTTTATCCATGGTCACAAGACCCATATTTATCACCTAGTGAATATTACAGGGGATGTGAGTAAGAATTATGGGCTAGTATTACCTTTCTTGTATTTTTGTTTTCCTAGCAGATGAATTGCACATACACATGAGCATGATACATGTTCATTTCGTAGAAGCTAGTAAAAGCAATATGTTTTGCAACTTACAATTTTCTGGTGTTTTTGCACTCTGTTTACAGGTTACATTTTGCATTATTTAGAAAAAAAGTTATGGATGGCTTTTAAAACTAGGAAAGTGCAGCAAGGATTGTCTAAAAACTGGTACAAGAATTTAAACAAAAGATACCAATGAATGAACATATCAGCAAGTAAAGCACTGACTTTATTTTATAACTATAGCATCTTAATAAATACATTTAGTATGCCCTGATACATGCTGATCCTGATATAAATCTAGTATCCTTGTAACATCCTCTGTGATGAACTAAAATCTTTGTTACCAGATGTTTAAAAGAGAACTATGAGGTGAGTGAAAATCACTCATCTTCATAGTTTGAGCCAACGTGTGACAATTAAACTGTCACACAGCGGCTCAATAGATCAGGAAGTGAGCGAACACAATTACCGTCACTCGCTCACTTCTCGATCATCTCCCTGCAGAGAGCCGTGACTGTCAGTCACGGCTCCCTGCAGGCATTCCCCCCCTCCCTGCTCCTATCCTCCAGCGCTGACTGGAGGAACGGACGGGGGAGGATTGGGGACAGCTGGCTCTGCCTCTAGATAGGCAGAGCCCGCTGTCATTCACGCAGCTGGGTGGATCTCGACAGTATTGTCGGCATCCGTCACGGCTGCGGCGGTCTCAGTATACCGCGAGCTGAGCTGTTGACTTGGCCTCAAAATTCTCCAGATCTCAATCCAATTGAGCATTTGTGGGATGTGATGCAAAAATAGCTCTGATACATGGACACCCCAATTCACAACAACCATCTGCAATTGACGGCTTGGTGACAGATACCACAGTATACCTTCAGAGGTCTAGTGGAGTTTATGCCTTGACGTGTCAAGGGTGTTTTGGCAGCAAAATGGGGACCTACTCAATATTAGCCGGATGGTTATAATATTATGGCTGATCCGTGTATATTTTCAAGCATGATTGAAGGTTTCTGCTTATATTGCTATAGGTGTTTGCTACTCCACAACTTCCTTTGCTTGTTTTCAGTATTTGATATAAGCACAATTGTTTAAAGTGATAATAGAGTCACTCAAAGGCATTGTCGGAAAAGAGTGTTATATCCTTCATGGCTATATGAATCTAGCTTTATTTATGTAAGACAAATTACAGTTTATTTTTATTTTCTACCTGTAAATGACTATTGTGCTGTCCTATGCATGCAATATCAAATGATTATACAATGCTTGTGATAAAAGAAATCTACTTTCCACATCTCTTATGTGCCTCTCAGTAGAAGGACAGTTTGATATAATATAAGTTACCGAAATACAGGTGACCCTGCTGTGACGGTTTCTTAGCCAGGCAGAGTACAGATTCCATAAAAGCTCATTTCAGACACTCTAATGCACTGGGATAAACTGGAACAATATGGAGCGCTCAATGGAAGCTGCTTAAGATAATGTTATTGTTGCGTTGTGAGCAGCTATCATAAATCACTGTAATAATAAATGCTGAGAGGGGAAAAGCAAGCTTCAGCCTTCCAGGAAAACAGCACAACAATCATATAGGGCTTGCTGTGAAGAGTAGAACTACAATTATGTTTTTTCTTCAAAAGAGAGTTAAAGAGGAAGCAGCCTCTATTTTAGTAGGCACAATGTGTTATATTAAAGTGCAACTGAAGTCAAAATGTTTGTTTCTGATGGGGTGTAGAGGGTTTAGAACACCTGTCAGTTTTGTATGGCTGTCTGTGTCCCCGTCACAGAGATTTATCTTCTCTATTTGTCCAGGTGACCTTTATCCCTGAAGGTAAAAGTGAAAGAAAATCCAAAATTTTTGGTTGCCATCATAACAAGAATAGATGGGGAATCTACATATGGGGACACTAGCCCCTGGAACCCTGGGATAACCTTCGCTTTGAAGACAACTTTGTATTTGTTTCGTAAATAATTAAAGGTATCCTATGGCCAGCATGCACACAGTCTTTGAAATGATTGATGGTGGTATATTCTCCTTAGTCGGTATGAATAACCAGAACCTTATATTACCCTCTTATAGAAAATTGTGTGTATTTTTCCTGTCCTGGCAACTACAACAAATAGAACCTTATAATTAAGTATGGTTTCCTGTAGAGACTTGGCTTAGTTTTCCATTCTTGTCCTACACATTCCTACATGGCACACTCTCACTTTACCCAGCACTAATCTCTATAGAAGCACAGTTTCAGATTTGATCAATCAGCTAAATTTTGCAGCAGCTTTGTGGTGTAGTGGTATATCTGACTGGACATAATCTGTATACATAGGTCATTTCATATCATATCATTTTGACGTATGTTGGTGATGCCATATCAATACTAAAAATAAATATGTCCAGCTCTAGAATTATACAATGTTGTGAATTACTAGGCATTTCAAGTATCCACCATTCTGTCTAATAAATTATAATACCTCACTCTGATCATGCTCTGTGTTTAACACATGGCTATGCTCTTTCATTCTTAACATCCCAACTCCAGCCAAAAATATTTTTGCATATTTAAGCATTTTAAATATATTGAGGAAGGGTCAGAACCTCTGTGAACTTTCTATTCCTGTCTGTTTCACAGATTTCACCTCACTTCCCATCTATTTATTTGATGTTAGAAAGAACAGGAAGTGAGAGAAAATATACTTACTTTCTGTCTATTTCACAAAGGTCAGACTGAACAGAAAGTGGGGGAAAATCTCCCCAATGGGGACACAAACAACAGTAAAAAAAAATGTATAGCAATGCAAGAAATTTTAAGGACATTTTGTCAGGATTTTATTGCTTCTATGTCCCTATTAGGCAGAATTGACCTTACTTCCTTTTCAGGGTAAGGCTTTCAAACAGGACAGAAAGTGAGGAGAAAACTCATTGGGGGCAAATGTAGCATTTAAAATCTGACAAAAAAATCTCAGTGGGACACAGACAACCTTTAAAACTTAAAAGGCATTAACAGTTCTCTTCTCTAGCCCCTCCCCCCAAAATGGGATTTCATAACAGGCAAGATTAATGGATTCAGGACAATCTCCGTGTCATTAAAACATTGGTACTCCAAAGTATCTCAATACTACTGATTGTCCCACTAAGACTGCTTACATATATCTAGATTACTCAGTGCCAATAACTGGGGGTGAAAGATCCATCACTACCATGACACATTATCCTGACTCTGAAACGTCAGAGCACACATAAAGTTAAAGGAATGCTCCATTTTTTGTGGGAAAATGGGAATGGTCAGTGAGGAGATAAGTAATATGATTAGAAATCCATTTTAATTGCATCTATTGTTTAAATTACTCTGTTTACTAGATATGCTACCATACATAATGAAACTTAAAGATGGTCCTCATAAATTACATGGAAGGTAAGTCTGGTAATACAATTAAAAAACAAAACAGGCATGATTAGAGTTATAGAAAACCTAAAACATTTTATAAATGACAAACACTTACATGACAGTCAAAGCCTTGAGATAAGATCTTGATGCTCCTTGGTTCAAATACATTTAAAGCTTCTGATTTGTTCCATGTACAACTACAAGACAATCTAAGGTCACTGCTGAGAAGAGGTTCATTAGAGGGAGTCGATGGCATGTGTAAAGTTCCTCTCCTACTGTACTTTTCTACAGGTCTGACTCATGTCATCTCTTAAGCACTGTTATCTACAAGATCTGTGTTTATGTGTATAGATTGAGGAAATTCTTGAGCAATAAACAGTGAAGTTGAAAATATTTTGAAATGCTCAGGTCATTTAAATCCATTACAAATTATAAGGTCTAACACCCCTATTTCATTAGTACACTATTAGACATTTAGGCAGACATGTTGGAAGCCAAGCTGAGTGATTTCAATTGCTCCTTCCAGATACTCTGGAGGACTGGAGGAGTAAATGTAAACACCCAAGGACAGGGAGTGTGTTATTCACAGGATACCAGATGAAAATTAAAGGGACAAAAATAAAAAAAGTCAATAAGTGCAACCCTCTCATCTAAGGGCTAGTAAGCTGCAATATATTAAATTTTTGTTTTGGGGTTTAGATACACTTTAACTCTGACCCCTGTGAAGTCATTTGGAAGGAAGTACTGACATCAGATAGAAATAATCTTAGGGAGCGTGGTGTTATTTGTCATAGCTTCCCTAAGTTTCTCTATGCAGAAAGCAGCTGCTGTAAAGGCATTATAGTCCCTCTATCGTGGTAATAACCCAGAGAGCCCACTGGGCCTCCTTGGTCCAGCTGCTGCCCACTGCCTCAGAGGTTGACTCCTCTGAAGCTGGTCCAAAGAACCAGCCATCCCCTCAACCTGTCTTCTCTCTGGTGCCTGTGGCAGATATCTTTGAGGTCTCTGAGGCTTTACAATTGACAGTGGCCTGGAAGAACTCAGGAGTCTGTCCAACAGACAGCTGACTGAATATTACAGGATGAGCATGCACAGGGAATAAGGCAGACTATCCCAAAAAGCATCTCCTCTGAGCCATCTGGCCTTGGAGTGGCGGACAGACAGATGGATGTACCCCAAAAGTTCCAGGAGCAGCAGGCTGAGCTGGAGTCTTATCGGGGTACCGTCACCACATGCCCTGGCCTTACCTACCTGGAAGCCCACTACATAGTCACAGGGAGCCACAAGCATTTCAGGCAACCAGCTTATAAGTTCTTCCTAGAGGTTCTGGTCCACTAGGTTGTGGACATGTTGGTGACCAGCTCTGCACAGGAATGTTTTTCCCATGAGATGCTCGCTGATCACAGTGAACAATTTCTGTCTTGTCTGATGCAATACCTTTGCATGAAGACACAGATGGGGCTTATTGTGGTCAATCCTTAACACCCCACAGACCAATGAGCTGTTTAAGTAATTCAACAATGCTTTGTAGCAGATGAGTGAAGTGGTAGTGGAATGTCAGGATGGGGGACGAACAATAATATCTGCCCCACCTTTAGGTGCCTCAGGCATCAACTGGATTCCCCCTCTTTTTGGGCTCTTGTACGGGAGAAGGGTCCGCTGGCCCCTCTATCTCATTTGAGAGACCTGGCAGGAACAGAATGTTGGGTCAGGGGGTCTCAGTAATAGAATATATTCTAAAGTGCCAAAAACTGCTGCCCAGGGAGGTAGCCTATGCCACAATAGAGAGAGTGTTTGGCATTTCTATGGTCACAAGCTCATGGTGGTAACCAACCACAATCCCCTTACCTGGCTACTCAGAATTGCTGGGGAAAATGTGCAATTGTGGCAGTGGAGCTTAGCTCTCCAGTAGTACAATTTTTTGATTCAGCACACGAAAGGGAGCAATCATGGGAACACTAATGGTCTGTTCCACCATGGAAAAACCTTTGATGCAAACATATTGGCCATGCATGATTCTAGAAGGGTGTGATGTAACATTAGATATAGCACATATGTTCCTAATATATCCAAGTGCACAAATGCAAATAGTTTCGCTCTGTGGTTCTCAACTGGTGGGTCGCAACCCCATGTTCAGTGGGTCGCCGTATGCCTTCCACGGCACTATGTGAGTGCAGCACTGCGAGTTCTCGTGCCGAGCAGCCATTCAAAATATGCTCCCTGGCTCTGAGTGTCAGCTTGAGGTGGAATGGGCTGGGGGTATGACCACGAGGGGGCTCCATCCATATGTGCATTGCTTACAGCCCCCCTGTGGGACTGGATTGACGTCACATTCTTGCTCCCAACACCTCTACAGGGAGTGCAAGGGAGCTATAGAAGAATTGTATGTATGGATGGAGCTCTGTCACAGCACAGCAGCCCACAATGAACCCCTACAATTTTTTTGGAGTGTGTATGTGTGTGTGAGAATGTCTGCGAGTGTATGAGATTGTGTCTGTGATTGTGTGTGTCTGTCAGTTTTTTAATCGCAAGCTACCACTGTTTGGTCTGGTGTGGGAGGTGTATTGCGTTGCCATTAATTTGAATGGCACTCCAAACACACCTCCCTCCCACAGTTTGATCGCTTGCACCGGAATATGCTATACTTGGGTCGCGACTTAATGACTAAGGACAAATGTGGATCCTGAGATTATACAGGTTGAGAACCACTGGTTTAGCTGTGCTTGTGAGGGTTGATAGGGGGCAGGATACTTGTATGATGGTCCAATAAGGACGGCTGGGTCGTTTTATTTCATACAGGTTGCTCACAACACCGAGTCACCAAAAGTATAAACCTTCTGCCCAGTGCATACCCCAGACATACTCCTGACCACATCACACTGTAAGCCGTGCTATATGTTATTTTCTCCTGATCATTGCACCCTGTAACCTGTGATATGTTGCATAATCCTTGCTGCAGCACTATGTATGCTGTGCTGTATGTTACATATTCCAGACCACTTCATCCTTATATTCTGTATGCAGTAAATCATATGCAAAATGTTTTGAACGGGCATCTGTAGGATAATTAAAATGAGTATAAAGGGAAAAATGTTTTTAGATTAAGGGAATAGGAAAGGGTTAAAACCCCCAGCTGATTATTCTTTTGGTGTCTGTGTCCCGCTAGGGAGATTTCCCTTCATGCAAGATAGCTATACAACAAGGTAATGGAAATCTCTCCAGAATTAAAGGAATTCTTCATAGGTTGTGATATGAACAGGTGTTACCATCGGAGGATTTTCCTGAACTGCTGTTGTGCTTCACTTGCGCCCTGTCGTGACGTCTAAAAGTGGAGAAGCAGGTACATGCGAGCAGTCTCTGACAACACCTGGTAACATGTGAGCAGTCTCTGACAATGTCTTGTACATGTAAATATATACAGTGGATTGCAGGTAGGGTCAGCGATCCTGTTATTGCAAAACTGAACTTAAACTTTTGTGATCAAAACATATTTTTGCCTATTGAACCACATCCCTCATGTAAGCCACACCCAATGTTCACCTTGTTGCAAAGTACTGCTTGAGGACAGGTGATCTCTCTCCACAGGTTTGTTTTAAAGCAGAATATGAGTTTTTTTTAAGGCAAAACACTTGGAATTTGAATGCTAAAAATAGTTCATGCAAATCTATGCTAGCTTTTGCTATATTCATATTTTATATTCAAGCCATTGGTCAAGAGAATCCCAGGTGCTGCTTCTATGCCTGCACAATTGCTGGGAAAACTGCTAGATATACAGGATGTCTGTGAAGGTTCTCATTCATCCAGGTCATGGTATATCTGTAAAAAAAAAAGGCAAGGCAACTGGACTTGCTGCATTTTTCTTGAAGACGTTTCACTGGTCATCTGCTTTCTCACTTCAAAAGGACTTGTGCAAAAAATTACTTTGGAATAAATATGGTGAATGTGGCTCCAATCCACATAATCTGTCACAACCATGTGTTGATTGCATTTGCATAATTTGAGTCTAGGTGGTGTAAATAACCTGCCCAGAGAGGTGTTAAAACAGCATTGTATGTGGCAGACAATAAATGTCTCACCTCACCTCACCTCCTTCCCCCCTCTAACGTGTGCTGCAAGGTACCAACCCCTGTTGTCGGCATCTGAGGTTAAAGCGCAGGTGGTTTCTATAGCCTATCAATTTTCTTGCTGTCTTTTCATATTCTTGTACAAGTTTAAGGGTTTTCTCCCCAAAATGTGTTGCAATATGTATTGTCTGCCACATACAAGGCTGCTTTAACACCTCTCCACAGACTATGTGGATTGGAGCAACATTTACCCCATTTATTCCCAGAGAATCCTTGTCATTCAGTCATTCTGAATTGAGAAAGCTGATCGGATGACCAGTGAAACGTCTTCAAGCAAAATACAGTCCAGTTGCCTTGACATTTTTACAGATAGATATACAAGATTTATATTTTTAAAAGTATGCATTCTGTCAGGATCCAGAGCACCCCCAGGTGGCGCTGGAGCCAGGTCCTGCAGTTCCTGTGCTCGCCTGCGCGTGTCTCCAGCAGCCAGGAACTGTCAGGAACCTGCAGCTCCAGTACTCACCTGCAGGTGTGCCCCAGCTGTGACTGATCATCCCATCACCTGGTGCTTCCCGGGAGGGTATTTAAGCCCTCCCTGCAGTCAGGAAGCTGGCTCAGTATTGCGTCGCCTGCACCTGACTGATTCCCATGTCCTGCTACCTGAACCCTGCTTCCTATCTGCAAACCTGTCACCGACCCGGCTTGTTACCCGACCACTCTTCTTGGATCCTGTTCCTGTACCGCGCTGCCCTCCTGTTAACGACCCGGCTTGTACCTGACCACTCTTCCTGTATCCTGAGGCCTGCTGTCTATCTGCAGGCCTGTTACCCCTCCTTGTTGCTATTCCCCCTGGCTGTAGGTGTGTGTTTGTCCCAACCGTGGTTTTTGTTACTTCACTGCTAAATCTGTGGGGGTTGAGGGGGTTTGTAGTTTTGTTTGCTGTGTAACAAATAAACTGTATGCATATAACCCTATCCAGCGTGGGCATATTAATTTGGTCATCCTGCGTGGGTACCTACATGTGGTGTGAGGACGCCTGTGCATGGTACACTGACACATTCATACCTTCCTCCTCTGCAATAAAGAAGAAAGAATGGCATGTCAAATGACTACAAACCCGGGTAAGTAAAGTTCAGTTTTCATCTACTAGACTTCC